TCAGTCAAAGGAATGGTAATTATATGGGTGGGACAGACTGCGATTCTTCATTTTGAGATCAATGTGAGTTTAATTTGATATCAAATTAATGTAGGTTACTGTAATTACGTTGGTCATACTTCTTATTGCTAATATGTGCACAGCTGAACATGACCTGACTGTTATGGGGACCAACATGCTATCCTGAATGAGCGAGCATGTTCAGAGACCTTTTCGGCACAGCTGCAATTTAAATCCAAAGTTTCAGCAAACAAGAGTAAACAAACATGAGTATTAGACATTGCTATCTGGAAGAACTGCAGCAGCAACATTAAACACCGTGGCATTACCAGCAACATTTACATGAACCTCTCCAGACACCACCCTGATCGGGACCACAAACTTTCAGCTACATGTGCCTGAAGAAAAACGAAAAGAAAAGAAAAAAAAAAAAAAAAAAAAACCACATATCCCGTCAAGACGGCTTTAAACATCCTCCCCAGCAGTAGTGACAGCCAAGTTAAACAAATAATTCAAATCGCCATGCTGTTCTGTAGGCAATTCTACTTTATTTTTTAAAACTAAGACACATTGAGTTCACAATTTCAACTTGTCAGCACAGGTTTAATTTTTATACCATGCTTTTCCAGCAATATACATGTTGCAAAGGTAGTAATTTTGGTAGGCATGTCATTTGCCACATTAATTCTGATCCCTTAACTGCTAATAAGTTGTATGCAGGTGCCCACCCCTGCCCTAAACAGTTTTGTGATGATTTTTTTCCCCAAGGTGTATTAGTTAGAGCTCAATAAAGGTTCTTTAATGCAAGAAGATGACCAGTGAATTCTGTCCCACTGTACCCCTAGGACACACAATAACTTACACACAGACCTGAAACCCTTGACTGGAATCATGTTAAAAGCAACAAGTTAATTTAAGCAAGAGTAACTTCTCTTCAGCAAAGAAAATGTTTAAAAAAAAAAAAAAAAAAAAAAAAAAAACACAAAATTGCAGTATTGAAGTCAGCAAGTATTGATGCCAGGTCAAATGGGGAGGTCTGCCAATTCCCACCCCCAGTAATCAAACCTAACTGCAGGCCCAAAACAAAAAACTCATGCATTTTCTTATTAGTAAATCATAGCATATTAAATTTAGGCTGACACTGAAACAGAAAGACTAATGTTAATATGAAAAATTTCTACAAAAGATGTACACCAAAATAACTCCACAAATATAACTGACTCCATAAGTATTTACCCCTTCTACTATAAAACACACCTACAACCCAGTTAATCTGCCTAGAGAACACCAACCTCAAAGAAAACAGGGACCATGCAGGTAGGGTCCTACAGAGTCCTGCACGGGTCCACTTTTGGAGACCCGCACCCGCCCGGTACAGCACCACACCCGCCCGTGCACCCCTGATTATTTCAAAGTTAAATCCGCACCCGCCCAGGCCCGTTAACATTCCGCCCGTTACCCAGCCCGGACCGGGGTTAATTACACACAATTATTTTTTCTATTCACCTCTCAACGTGACAAGCGCTAGGCCTACATGAATTTTGAATTATAACGAAAAAGTCCGTTTACCACAAAATCAAATCAGATAGATCTAAGCTATCCATACTGTACGTGAATGTTTGTCGAGGCGGTTATCTAATGGTGTGTTCGTTTCTCTCTCGGAACTTCCGAGTTGAGTGACATCACGTCCGACAATCTCCCGTTCGAGCCACCACATCTCGGAACAAACATGGCTGCCTCCATGAACACGCTGCTGTGTGTTGTTGCTTTATATATTAACAGATTTGGAGTGAGATTATTTTTTCTGAGAGACAAACAAGAAACACGAACTAGTCAAACCACATTAAAAGCTTTATAAAATATTTTAGCACATTCATAGAAATATTCTTTTTTCGAGAGGCAAACTACAAACAGACCAGAAGACGCTAACAAGTCTGGTAAAAATCTGATATTGCATGATAGGATACTGTTTACGGTCATGATATAGTATTCTCTAAATCAAACACGTGCAGTTATTTATAACTATTAATACATTTAACAAAATAAACATTTTTAAAGATTCATAAAATAGAATTACTGTTTAGTGTGTAAGCCGCCATGTTGAAATTACGTCACAGGGGCAACTCGGACAACAAAATCTCGTCCGACATCAACGTCATAAAAGAGGCATGTTTCCGACGTTTTCGTCCGAGTTTTCCTCCGAGTGCCGACTTGGAGAGAAATAATCGAAAGCACCAAAAGGTACCCCCGACATACTGAACACACTGTGATGATGACAATTTGTACATGATAGTCTAATACATAGATATTTTCGCAGGCTACAATACCATTTTGTTTGACCTGCTACCCGCCCGTGTGTAATGAATTACCCGCCCGTAAAATTCCAGAACATTAAAATCCGCCTGTTTCAGCAACTATCTGCGGGTACCCGACCCGGTGCAGGACTCTGGGGTCCTAGTGAATGGGGCCACCAAAAGACCTATGACAACTCCAAAGGAGTTACAAGGTTCCATACTGAGGGGGGGTGTCCTTCAGTCATAGCATTATGACAGAGGACCTGCAAGGAGTGCAGAAGTATAGGGTAAAATCAATGCAGACAAATGCAGGGAAATCCTGGAGGGAAACCTGCAGCAGTTTGCAAGAGAACTGCAGCATCCAGGTGTACGGATAGACCCATCCACTCAGACTTAAGGCTGAAATGACTGTCAAAAGGTGCCTCTGCTAAACAGCAACTTGAGAGGTAAATACTTATGCAATAGGATGGTCACTTTTTTTCCAAAAATCGTTTGAACTTTCAAATGTTACATATTTGCTTCAAATGTATTCGAATACCTGCAATGCCCCCCCCCCAAAAAAAAAAAAACCAGAAACACATACACACCACACAGAATCATCCTTTCAGCATACAAACAGCACATACGACATCACATTTATACAGAGCCCCTAAAAGGTAAGGGCGCGATTATAATAATAATAATAATAATAATAATAATAATAATAATATTATATTTTTTTAAGTAGTTAAATGTTACCTCGCATTATTTTGTGATCCCTTGCAAATGTGACGTCAAAAATAAACCGAAATAATAGACATGTCCTGTAAAGCGTACTTTAAGCTTCAAATTACGGGGGACAATGCATGAAAACTTTAATTTTATGTTTTTATACAGAATAATTAATCGCACTGTGGAATTCAACACCAGTGACTAAGCAAGACAGCTTGGGTATTGAACATGAAGTGCACACACGAACACTGAAATATTACAAAACATTGAAAAATATTACAGCCAGAAAACTGTATATAAAGCTCACTTCGCCGCAGTGTTTAAACACAAACCCGCTTTGTGGAATATTTCAGTATAGATCCACATATCCCCAGATAAATCAGGTGAAAATACAAGGGAGATATACCCGAAAATGGTTGAGGTTTAAACCCCATGACACCACAGGTAAGAATTACGTTCAGTTTTCCAGCTGTAATATCTTTCTACAAAAGCAAGAAACACCCCTTGGTTTTCCAGATTTCTTAAAGATAAAATTGAATTAACGTTTGTGTGTGCACTTCACGTTCAGTAGCCCAGCTGTCTTGTTTACAGTCACTGGCATTGAATGGACACAGTCTCATTAATAAATACGTATAAAAAACACACAAAGTTACATTGTGTGCATCATCCCTCAAATGTGCTTCAAGCACTAAACCAACTAGATACATCTGTATCGTTGATGTTTATACTTATTAGTCCATTCATTCCATGCTTGGTACTATAAACATGTACAGTAGTCATTACTAGCAACGCAAAACTATTTCAAAAAATATTTTCCCACCCTGACCTCTTAGATGTTCCATAAACGAGAAACAAAATTACAGCAAATGGTCTATTACACTTATAAGCTACAGGGATTCAATGTTGCAAAACAATTACATGGGAAGGAATATTATGTGTAATAACTGTGCAGCTCGACGCCATTGGTGATTAATTTAAACCTATCCAGTTCCTATCTATATGGTCATAGTATACCTGTACTAAAATGCTTCTCAGGATTTATACCTGTATACACACCTATAAGAAATGTATATAGAACACGGCAGATTCAGAAATAGCGTGGGTGGATGCATCTTCTGAAACGAAACTTTCAGAAACTTAACAGTTTCACGTTAAGAACTAAAAAGGAACCTCCACATTAAAACACACCAGTATTGCCTTTTTAAACATCCTGAAAGGGTGTGTGGCTGAGTAGGCCAACACGCTGCGTCTAATCAGAAGGTTATCGGTTCAAATCCCAGGGTCAGCAGAGCAATGTAAACACTGAGACCCTAACAAAGACCCCCCCCCCCCCGCTCCAGAGACTGTGAGTCTGCCTTCTCAGTTGTAGCACGGTTTAGATAATAGCACCTGCCAAAGTGTCAATATAGTATGTTTTTTGGACACCAGAAGGAAATCCAAAAGGGAGGACATGCGAGATCCAGACATGGAGATGCATGAAGATGTGCAGTCGTATTGTAGCCCACGGACGCACCACGCCGCACAAACGGGCAGCTAGCTAGCACTCAATTGCTTCAATACGTCACTATTAATAAAACAAACTGATAGTTTCGATTAAACACCACATACACCTATGATAGGTAGCAGACTACAGAACTAGCAAAACCGTCCCACCGTCACTGTCGCGAAAAAGTTTACCTGCTACCACCCGAGCCGAACACGCAGCTGTCAGTCTCCAAAAACCAAACTCACCATCGTTTAAGGATCGCTCATACCTCCATTTAACATTTCTGAAAGAGAAAATGTCAGAGAGAAAATGTCGCCAAACGACTGCTCATCCTGCAGAAAAATAGAAAGAAGTCTGACTCCGGAGCAGCCGCAACAGACACTGGGAAGTGACGTTAATGAAACTTAAAGGGTCCAGTTCCGTTTTGCCAAACCTGAAAACATGCGACTCAGTCACCGTTCACCCGCCAGCGGGTATTTCAACATTTATCGAAGTCCACGTTCACTCACTTTTTATGAAACTGGTTGCAGCATAATTCCATTCATTAGCTTTTCATCCTTGGCGAAGATGTGTTTAGAGAAACTGAAGGGCTCCGGTTATTTTTAAAAATTGCTCACGACGTATTTTATGTGTATTTAAAACACTGAGCATAACCGCCCCGGCTGAGCAATCCAGTCACATAAAGCCCTGGGCTCGCGGTGGCGCCTTTTACTTTTATAGCTCTGCCGAGTCACGTGACGTAAACTCTATCCCCAGGGCCCTGAAAATATCTTTGTGGAAAATAACGGTTTAATGGGATAGACCAAGATAGACCAAGTGTTAAACTTAGTTAATCCTTTATATATAAAAACGTAATTTAGCTGCGTCTCCATCTCTCACTATTGGGACTAATTATCACAGCCTCTCTCCAATGAGACATGCACATACTGGAAAAAGCCAACATCTTCGAACCCTACTTTTCATTGGACAATATATATATGAACATTATATCAGAATATTTCGTTCAGCTCAAAAGAAACGGCAACGTGTTGGTTAGCAAGAAATTACCTTACTATTTTTTCCAGTTACTTTACGGTTCAGCTTACCATGAGGTTGTTGTTTTTATACGCGGGTGCATGATTGTCGGTGGCTGGCTATGGCTGCGTCTCTTCTGTAGGAAAAACGTGTTCTGCCGCGTGTCTCGATTTCAAGTTAAGCCTTCCGCTAAATTACTTCTATCGCGTTTTTTAAAATTACAGCAAGAAACGACTTTTTCCATTGACAGGCTGCCTTCTTATCACTGCTAAGGCAATAAACCCCCTGTTACGTGTGGTGGCCAATCATCAACCTGAGTATTCACGCCTGTTCTGTGCAATTACTTGTCACTCTTAAGTTCGCACACCTTCGTGAAATTGTTATGGTTTTTCTTCTCAGCCAATCTGGAATCGCTTGTGTAGAAGATTCAGTCATTATCGCGACAGCAAAGTTACAACCAACGCTGGATACTGCAGAAGTGCGTCTGATGCCTTGTTACACACGTCTTTTCTACACTTTTTCTTATCAGATGCTTCGTCACAGGGAAGTCTAACAGCATCATCTCTTCCTTTGCCAGACCTCCACCATTTTTCCCCCAGGTGGGCCCAGGTATTTCACACCTCCGTGAGATTTTCCCAGCTCCTTATCCAGTTATTTGGTTACTTGGCTTCTGAGGATACAAAATTATAGCGTAACTGTCTTTGGCTTAGGTATCTCCCCATGACACCCATCAAAAGCCTATGCAGAGTCCTTCCATGGCTATGTGTTTTATTGTATCCTGCTCTTACTAACAATACCAGCTTGTAATCTACTGATGTCATACGATGTAGTGTGGGGCAACTGTTTGGGCCAGTACAAGGCCCCAAAACATGCTTTTTTTGGGTCATTTGATTTGACGCAGCAGCACCCGGAAACTGCTAAAAACATTATGTTCCACTACAAACTACATTTACTAAATGTTGTTTTCCTAAATTTACATTCTTTCTACTTGTCTCTTACCAGGTTAATATGATGTGGTGCCCCAGCATTCAGAAACTCCTACAAAGGTTATGTTCCGCTACAGGCTGCATTGGCTTAATGTTCCTTTCCAAGGTTACAGTTTATCTTTGTGTTATGTAAAGTTATTGGGCAATAAACCCTACGGTCAGGGTGGTAGTCAATCATCACCCTGAGAATTTATGCCTGTTCCATTCAATTACTTGTCACACTTAAGCTTGCATAACTTTATGAATCCAGTAAACCATGTTGATAAATACGTGATAAATTAAATGAAATGCCCAAAGAGAATACATTTATTTTATACTGCTTAAATGGTAAGGTCATTTTAAGATCAGCTGATGAGCAGTTCTGAAGATTTCTGGAAAAAAAAATGTATTTCACAATCATCTGAAGTATGAGAGTGCGCATTGATGCAGGGTTTAAACTTTACAAATCAATGAGCAACTGCAGTCACGAGAACAGCCCTTGTCATGCAGTTTAATAACACTAAGTCATGATCTTTGTACATGCTACAGCTGACCAAAATTGTCATCTCTTCTAATTGATCATTTTCAAACTGATGCTGAACAAAGGGTGGCAGGAGCACTTTGGGAAGAAATTGATCGAATTATGAAAATTGAGGAATTACATTACTGTCTGCGTTTTACAGTAGTTCTTAACTGTCCCAAAGATCTGTACAATTTGGGTCCAAAAAAAGTGTTGATTGCTCTTTGACTTTTGTGTTTCTTCCCTAGAGCTGCTCTGGTAGCAGGTCTTATAAAGTGTATTTTCAATATTAAACTTGCAGCTTTGTTTGCAATATGAAGAGTATTGGGGTGGGCTAAGCTTTGGTTCTGATGGTGGGTCTCGGTGACCCTCTTTCAGGAAGGGTCCTCTAGCTTTTCATGGTACTTTCCATGGAGGGTCTTTGTTGGATTGCCCACCCAATATTAGGTAGGTCCCCTTCATGCCACCAAACCAGCTCTGATCTGTAGAGGCATGGACTCCACAAGACCTCTGAAGGTGTCCTGTGGTATCTGGCACTAAGACGTTAGAAGCAGAACCTTTAAGTGTAGTAAGAAATGAGGTGGGGTCTCCATGGATTGGACTTGTTTGTCCATCCCACAGAGGCTCGACCAGGGACATCTGGGGAATTTGGAGCCCGAGTCAACACCTTCAACTCTTGAACTTCCATTGCTCCGTGGTCCAGTTCTGATGCTTAAGTGCCCATTGTTGGCACTTTCAGCAGTGGTCTGTGGTTACACAGCCTCATACGTTCAGCAAGTTGTGATGCAGTGTACTCTGATCACTGCATACCAGGAACACCCCACAAGACCTGCCATTTTGGAGATGTTCTGACCCAGTCATCTAGCCGTCACAATTTGGCCCTTGTCAAAGTCACTCAAATCCTTATGCTTACCAATTTCTTCTGGTTCAAACATGATTTTCAAGAACTGACTGTTCACTTGCCTAATACATAATGACACCCTTGACAGGCGTACAGGACTAACGAGATGACCAATATTATTCATTAATCATGGTATCCATATTTCTAAAGGAAAATAAAGAGAACTGGCCTGCTCTGGGCCATGCAGAGTATCCTGACCTACTGCATAACAGCACCAGTTGTTGTACCTCAAGTTGTTGATCCCAAGGCTCTGCAGTGAGTTAAGTCAGCCGAACAGATCACTGGCCTTCAAGTCAGCCATCGAGGGCCTCTACAACAAACTCTGCCTTTTGCCTCAAGACAACTCACCCCAGCCATGGTCTGCTTAATCTACTGCCATGTAGTAAAAAGTACAGGACTATATGTGGCCACAACACCAGTCAGTAGCAGTTTCTTCCCTTTCAAGCTACTGTACTTCACTGGCAGTACTTTTGTTGAGTACCTTGTACAGTATTTGTGTGAGTAAGAAGTTCTATGTGCTGATGTGCGAAAGGCAGATATCAATAATCTTACTTTGTTTCCTGCACTTTACCTTGCTGAACAGTTTCCTCTCCTGCATCTTAATCTATCAGTTCTTTATCCTCAGCTGGTATGCAGCTTGTATGCAGCTTGTTGCCTAGTACTTCATGTTTTGTCCAGTACTCTGTTACATTTCTTTACACATGGATATTCTATATGCATCAGCAGAAGGTGCTACCCAGTTTCACCAGTGTAAGCAGACTTGCACAATGACAATATAATCCTCAATCCCTTGATCCTACTATCTGGTACACATTCAAACCTGTCAATGCACGTCTTACAAGCAGAAACAGGCCTGAAGACAGCGCATGTCTCGTACACATACAAACATCCATTATCTTACAAAAACAGAAGATTCTATATCCCTAACCCATCCATAAGATGGAATTCTGTGGATTTTGCACATTTTATGGATTTTGCCATTTTCATTCAACAGGCATAATTAAAATTCATTGTACCCAAGGGAAGCAGTTTTAGGACAATGACCAATAATTGTGTAATTATTTATGAGCAGGACATATTTTATGGCAGTCACAGTACTTTTTTTTGCATATTACACCATATTTGCTTTCGTTGGTTAAAAATGCAATATGCTGAAGAGAATTAAAAAGAATATTCAACATAGACCCTTCTAATCTTATTCTGCTTATAGTGAACTGTACATATTGGGTGGTTGTGAAAAGGAAGATTAATCAGTGGCTATAAGCTGCTATTAGTTCTCTCTTTAACTGTTAGCCCAAATCACCATACCCACCCTAAGCTGATTTCCTATTCCCGGTAAATTCAAAGGAAAAACAAGGTGCAGTCTCACACTCAGCTCTTCCTCACATCTGCCTCCATTTCATCATGCATCGTTCTTATGAGTAAAACACATTGTACAAAGCTCTGCACATCAGGTTAGCATCCTCTGCAGTCTATACCAGAAGAAATGGTGGGGTACGATTTTCAAGTAACTAACAGACACCTCAATGTTAAACAGCTTATCTGTACTGCAATGTTTAATGTATGAGACACAAAGTTAATTGCACTTCATCTTTTTTGGATCAAAGGATTGCATTTTGAAAAGGGAGTGATGAACACGTGTTAAATACTGATTTGATGATGTGATTATCTGAAGCTATGCAGTAAATCTATTTCACTGGGCACTGGTGTTATTTGTTGTCTTTTTGTTTAATCTTCACAAAGTACAAATTTAGTTTTAAATTACATTTTAACCACTTTATTTTAAAAGTGGATTTTTTTCTGAAATACATTAAAGAAAAACCAATTACACCCAAACCCCCCAACGCCCCAGACAAGCTACCTACAAAATCTAACAGTTTCATGCTGAAATACCAGCAAACCATTTCACACTTTACAGAATCCTTTTTCTTGGCTCCAAAATTCAGTTGCATACAGTACATTTTACTGCCTGCGTGCATTTAAGGTTAAAATATATATTATTTTGTTTCCATTAGTCTGCCTCCTGCACGGTCTTGCATGCATCAGGGAGCTTTTCGCAAGCAGTATAGCAGTATGAGCACCGGAAGCAAGCCAGTCGACTTGTTCAGGCTGTAGGTCGGTCCCAGTACTTCTTTTGGTCCACCCTTCAACTGGTTCCCTTTTTTGTGAGCAGATCTAACCAGAGTTGGCTCTCCAGTGTACGTGGTCCTTTCCCAGTTCAAGCAACAAACTGCCAAAATCATTGAAGTTTTGTTCCGAGCTTTCGCTGTCTGTTTCTGAGAAGAGAAGGGAAAAAAAGAACAGAAACACCTGGAATATCATCTCACATACCAAGACAACCGTTAAGCAAGGTCAGTGTGGCACAGTCATTCTGCAGGCTCTGATCATACCTAGCCTCTGCTCGCGTTACTGTGTATTCAAACCACAGGATGTTGGGAATCAAACTCGTGTCACGCACCAAAAAGAACTCCGACACTGGCCTGGAAGGATATGACACATGGTGTTTAAAAGATGGGAAAAGGCGGAGGGGCAGGGAAGACGACTGTCCTGTGGGACATGCAGGGACTTCCTTACCAAGCAGCTATCTTGGGGAACAGGGGTGTCAACATCTCCTGGGTGATAAAAAACCACACAACTCCAATGATGCTACCAGCCACGCCTCCATATATCACCTGACTCCAGGAATGATAAAGCAAGTACACCCTGGAAAGCAGAACAATGAAAGTGATATTAAAATCTTGAATGGACTTGAATTAGTTTGTTACATTAACAACAAATAATGAGAACAGTTTGACTTCTGCCCCTGCCGAGAGGACATTAGGCATCATAAGGACCCAATTACCTGCTATAGGACACAGACAAGGCCACATAAGGACCCGATTACCTGCTATAGGACACAGACAAGGCCACATAAGGACCCCATTACCTGCTATAGGACACAGACAAGGCCACATAAGGACCCCATTACCTGCTATAGGACACAGACAAGGCCACGCTCAGCAAGAAGATGGACAGTATGTGTCTCCACAATAACTCCACACACCTGGCATTGTTTGTTTGATGCATTCTGCAGTAAAGTTGAAAAAGCATCATCACAATTTTCATCCTTTACCTTCATTGACACTTTCCCCCAATGAAATTCCTCATATATAACCAAAGTAAACTACACTGCAGTATGGTTTATTAAAACACACACACACACAACCATGCTCAAGATAGTGGATTCTATATGCTGCTACTAAACAAATAAGATGCTGAAATACCCAAAATAGTTCATTACTGCAAAACAATTTAAACACCCAATATAATTTCTCTTAAAATAATATACTAGAGGCAAATGTTTCTTACCAAGAAATGCAACTGCAATGAATTCATTGCAGATAAACACCTCTTTTTTTCCAGATCAATAGGACCTGATACATATATGAACTGCTAGTCAATCTGCCGCTATTTTTTATTTTTGCCAATATGATTCAGATAGTACTTATTTTTTTGTTAATGTACCCAAGCCTGGTACTCTGACAGTAAATTAACGTCTCACTCCTGACTTGTATAAAAATATAATATAAATATAATAAATATATTAAAAATGGTGCAAAAGAAATGAGTGAGAAAAAGACTCACCTTAAATAAAGAAAAAGAAAAAAGTATACAACAAAAAACCAGATGAACTGGGAGTGGCTAGAGGGCATTCCATACTCTGTGTTCAGCGTGCCATGAGCCCCTGCAAGGATGAGATTGGGGGGGGGGGGGCATCATCGGAAGGGGGTCTCTGCAGATAAACACCATGCTATCCTGGCCACTCTTCTTTACAGCTGCTTCTGTTCGGAAACCAGAGGCTCACAGGCCAGCCGTAATTGGGTATCTACTTATTTGCCCACAGATAGGTTACAGAACATGAATGCGTTATTTAGCGGAGGTTTTGTTGCATTTAACGGCGTCGCTCGTACTTTAGATCCACCATCATCAGCTAAAGTAGCAACAAGCTAATTCATGCGAAGTGTATAAATGTAATATTGTTGCGTGGGTCTAGATCAGGGGTCTCCAACTCCGGTCCTGGAGAGCTACCGTCCAGTAGGTTTTCTATCATACCCGGCTTCTGATGAGCCACACCTGTTCTCAGGTAAATGCCAGGAACAGGTGTGGCTCATCATAAGCCAAGTAGTATAGAAAACCTACTGGATGGTAGCTCTCCAGGACCGGAGTTGGAGACCCCTGGTCTAGATATATTTATGACATTCAAAATTAACTGCACACGTAAAACGTAAATTTAGCCATGACCTTGACTAAAACGGCTGATAAATTTCATCATGTATGCAGCTTGATATTTATTGCATAATGATTCCTGGAAAGCAGTAGAAACAGAAAAAATACACGACCCTCGCCTTGGACAGTTACACTTCTCATATGTCACCAAGTATTTCAGGAGGGACAAAACACTCATTCGAACTGGCCAAGAGAGGCACGGGGAGAAGGGTCCTGACCACCCCCTTCTGGCTCTCTGAGAAGCCGGTACGTGAATATCTTCACCGTTTGCTGCCAGGGGCTCTCTCACCTTCACAGGGCCGTGGCTCTCTGAAGATATGTTTCAGCAGCCAGTTCACCACCTCATTCAGCACAAGTCCCCCAAAGAAAGAAATCTGACAATAAGACGGTGACAAATCACACAAGTTAAACCCAAATAAAAAATCTAGTTGTATTACAGGTTCACTGGATAACAGTCATTTATAGAGGATAATATGACACTTTACTACACTCCATAATCAAAAAATACATGTTTTAGTTATAGGTAGCCCAGAGGTGGATTTCCAGCAAAAATGCAGAGTCTCAGAAATGATATATTTTGCTTTGACAAATAGCTGTAATAAACCAAATACATCCATTGCAATACTAGCATGCAGCATTAAGAAAATCATGACTAAAATGATCAATTATCTTGAAACAGTCTAAAACTGAAAACAGTCACCCATGAAAGCAGGTTCCAATAAAAACAATCATGCACAATTAAATTAAAACAAATCAGTTGTGGGCTTGTGGCCCATTGGAAGATGCAATAAAATAATTCATAATATAAGTTTTAAAGTGCCGAGTGGAGTGTATCAAATAGCATGAGCTCTGAGTAACTGAGTTTACTATACCCATCTAAAGCTATTAGGAGCATGTCATTCTCAAGGAGTGCAGAGAATTGCAGGTACTTACGGTGTGTAGCTCCCGCTTAAACACAATGAGGGTGACGAAGCCAACCAGGATGGCAATAGGAAGAAGACTGGTGCAGGCCAAGACCTGTCCTGTTAGGTCATCTTAGAATTATAAAAGCAACACATATCAGTGGATTATATGATCCAGGCACTGATAATCCTTTAGCAATTTTTAATGATGAATACAACAATATTGATTTGTCCAAAGCATGTTCCCGGTTTTTGATAAGCAATACATGCTGAAGGAGTTCAAACAAATGACAATAAAGATTCCAATCAACTGCTCATTGTGCAACATTTAAATATTCAAACAGCTTCAAATAACACAAGGACAAATCAAGTTAACATTATTGACTATTATGCTTATCAAAGTTATTTGTGTATGCAAGATCATTGTCACCATAATTTTACCATAGAACAATTCTATACTAAATGAATTAAACTAAAGCCTCCACAACAGGCAAGTCACCCAGTTTTCAAAACTACGCCTTCGATACAATGTTTACCTTCAACCAATGCTGAGGACTTGGCAAAGTAGTAGTAGTAGCAATTGCAACAGCATAAACTGATTATTTAGATATTATGCCTAGGTGTAACAATCTTTTCGCTAAGAACAAATCAGTTACAAAGTTTAAACGGCATTCATAATACGAAAGCAGCCAGCCGTCCGAAGCATCCATAGACAGCTGGTTAAAGCTAGGTGCTGATATTTAAGGCAAACCCAGACATACACAATTGCATGCGCAACTTTAGAAACACATCATTACTTTAAGGAGAAAGTGCACTGATTCTCGAATAAGACTTTCATGCGGATTTTAAATATTCACATCATAATTAATCAAATACCGAAGTCGTTCCAACTAATTACTAACTAGACAGTATTTTCACACAAGAAAAATATCAATAATCTACGGGTGATGTCATTGCTTGCAACTTGAATGGTAACTGGTTAGCTGGTTAGCTGCTCCAGCACATCAATATTTGCCTTTACTGTGCACGCCGAGAAGAAAATGGGAGGGCAGCTACAGCATGCGACCATGTACTCGGGCGTGTCTTTATTAATCTTCGCCATGAACGCAAACAATGCTGCGTAAAAGACACATAACCAATGTTTTTTGTATAAATTCGACGAAGCGCGCATGCGGAACAGGCCCACCATTTGGCAAGAGCTGCTACGTCCCCTGCGGAGCGGCGCAGCCACTTCGTACCACGGCTCACTATTTGGCAGACACCGCTCGGCCGAGTCCATTCAGCAGGAAAAAGAATCCCAAACAGCACGTAAAGGAACACGCCCGCGAATCCGCGGACGACTCCAAGAGTATAAGCGTGAAGCAAAAACGTCTTAAATTGACATACCTGCTGCATACTCTACGTGGGTAAGCGATATCGACCGCCATCGAGGCGGTACCGAACACTGCTCCTCCGACGCCATCTTACCCGGACACCGGGCACTATGGATAGACAAATCAGATTGTAACGCCCAAGCCTCTCCGACCAATCAGCAAACCCGACTGCTTTCGGGAAAACTGACCATTCACAGCCAAGGAAACCGCTAAATGGGGCGGGGTCAGTCATCCAATCACAATTATAATATTTCCTACAGTCCATTGATTTGCATGGTCTCAAGGAAAGTAGGGTAGCTGCTTTAACGCTAACGAGCTGTAAAAAGAATTGCTTAGGCACACCACTTTGCTGAACAACAGAGCAGTAACTAAAAGCACTTATATTTTGTTTTCTTAATCCGTGTTTAAAGCATCACAATTCTCAATACACATTAGGAATAAGCTGAGAATAAAATCATAAATAACATTATATTATTTTGGAATAATTGTTAAAAGCAGCAATGGGGTAGAGCCGAGCGATATGACGACATTGTCGGTAATCGACGATATCAGACAACCCAGTGTTATCTGCCAGTGAATAACCGGCAACTGTCGCCTTTGTTAGAGAAGTACATTTAGGCTACACATTAAGCAAGACAAACGAAGGATTTATGACTTGGCTTTCATTTCTGCCTTCCAGCATACGTCTTCGATCTCCTTCTTTCGGCTGCTCCCGTTAAAGGTCCCGTCTTTTAATGTTTTTGCTGTAACAATCTGGCGTGTAACCCCATTTCTCATAAGTGGCCAAAAGTGGACTTTTCTTTGCGTGGCCAGTCCTCTTTTTTCCTTTCAAACCCAAAGTCATATGAGGGATACGTTATGGCATTATGGCAAGCCAAATTGTCGTTTAATAGTATAAGGCTTAGTCGGCGTATCTTGATTTCTACTAGTAGAAATAACCTTTTAAGGTACAGAAATGAACCACGAGGAACATTACAAATGTACAAACAACATTAATGTACTATCAGTGATACAGAAATGTTCCTCAGAGTCAATCACCTACAGCTAATGCTACGTTCACACAGCAAGCGTCAAAGACGCCAGCCGTCGCTCCCGCCGCCCTGAACACGACGCTAGCCAACGCCGGAGACGCTCTCTGACGTCATAGAGTGGGCGGGGACAAGGCCACTCAGAATGCCAGGCTCTGAGAACTTTTTAACGACAGTTCTACTAAAACACATAATTATGTT